TGACCCCGCGGATCTGCGTGAGGGGTGGCACCGAATTTCAGAAATGTGGCAAATCCCATGTGTTTTTGGACCCTGACCCCGCGGATCTGCGTGAGGGGTGTCGATTTCGAGCCCCCCCAGCAATTCAGACAACGCGCCCAGGTGAGGCTAAAAGTCTTGTTTGGGCCTCCCCCCCCCTCGCGCGGTCAATCAACTAGTTACAAGAAGTCAACTAGTTACAGTAACCAGCAAGAAGCAGAACTGTAACACTGGAAACTACAAGCTAGAACTGGTACAGGAAACTGCGAATCACGCGCCTCGCAGCCTGCTGGCCCCACAAGGGGGCCGGCTGATATAATTAGACTGTCCTCCTTGCGTACCCAACCCTAAGTGGTTTACGAATGCTCATATAGATTTGGCCTCCCATACGTGCACGAGTCGTTCGTGTTTTATGTGTGCTCCTATAGGTTATTTTTCCCTTGCGGCTCCATTCCACGGTGGGCATCTCCTGGCGCACGAATCCTCCCCAGGAGGCCCCAGGAGGCTCAAGGAGACCACACGAGGCCCCAGGAGGCATCAGGAGGCCACAGGAAGCCCCAAGAAGCCCCAGGAGGCCCCAAGAGATTCCAGGAGGCCCCAGAAAGCCCCAGGAGGCTTCAAGAAGCCCCAGGGGGGCCCAGGCTGATGCGCAGAGACGCGCTCGTACAACTGAGCCTCGATCACACTCCAACTTACCCACAGTTAGATTCACCCCCAGACCGTCACTAAAGCCCGCTTGCATTCGAATGTTCTTGCGCTTAGGAACTCACGGCGGACAGGCCCATGCTAATAGATGCACATATGGGGGCACCACGCAGGGAGTTTTTTTTTGAAGAGTGATAATATGCCTCCCTTCCGCCACCAAGGCTGAGGCAATCCCGTCGCATCGGCGCGTTATGTTGTCATACTAGTTTTCGCGCCCGATCATAGTAAATTCCAGACATTAACATGCATCGCCCTCGCCCCTCATGATTGTCTAGAAGTACCGCGAGGTGCGCTCGCGTGGACCCAACAGGCGCGTTGCCCCAGAACTCATGAAGAACATACCAGCCTGCGGGCCACACGCTCGCGCACATGCCAAAATCTGTACCAGACGGGGGGTTTGCAAAAGATCCTGCCCCTCAACACGGGCTCGACCACAAAAGTGGCCAATGCAGGCCGCACGCGCGCGCGCGCACGTCGGAGGCATTGAACCACCATCGCGCGCCCACCAGCTGTGTCAAGCAATACCCTGCGGGCCACTCGCGCGCGTCTCCGCGCGCGCGCACGGCGCCAGCCGTCCAAGCCCACGGGCTTCCCAGGCATTGCAGCGCAGAGGTCTTCGAAGACAGTTGGCCGATTGGCCCACACGGAGGCCGTTTGGAGGCTTGGGGGTCGTCCTGTTTTTTGTGAAGCTTGATAATGCGATGAAGCGAACATCATTCAAACACCTTCCATGGTAATCAGTGGTTCTTACCTCGGGTGGCTCTCGTTGGATTCTGTCTGGGGGCGTTTTCGGGGCTTACTGGGCCGTCTGGAGGGCGTCTTGGGTTGTTCGGGGGACACATTGAACCGTGTTGAAGCCGTCTTGGGGTTATTTGGGAGATTCTGGGGTCCCAGGAAGTGCGTTGTGTAGGTCGTATCCCCACCCCTCGGAGCGAGGGGGGTGCTTAAACAGGAGTTTGGAATGCCTGGGAAGGGGACAGTGGGAAGGAGCCAGCCACACACCTTACACGCCCTCTCACCCCTGGCAAGCGGGGGTCGGCGTATAAGCAAGCGCAAGATTTTCACCGACTGTGAGCGCCCGCCAGTATGGTGGTGGCCTTGCGGACCTGAATTATGAGAGCCTGCTATGTTTTGAATTGCGCGTCGGCGATCAGATCTGGAGCCGCCCGCTGATCGGAAAAAACGCCCATTGAGAGTAAGAGGGAATCGCCATCCGCCCATACAGCTCTCAGGGGTTCCAAGCTCCGGGGCCAACTAGTGTAAGAAATATCCTTGTGAGAGGCTGACTTGATATATAAAAAGAGTAAGCCACATGGCTTGTGTGCGCAATTGACAGGAAGACTCAGCTTTATATTTAGGATGTAATACAGTCTGATGAAGGAGCACCACTGCGAAAAGGTGCAACTCCCAACAAGATATTCGAAACAATGTTGTCGATCACCACGAAGTTGACAATATACCACCCCTGCTATCCGCGTAAGCGCTGGAAGTTGTTTAAGAGAAAGGTGTGCGGTGCTGAGACGACAGCCGCATGTTGAATGCCATCCGGTCTCAGTCGGCGCTGGAAATTCTGAAATGGAACTAGCACGGCGCTAGGGCGATACTCTCGTTTTATCTTGCCACCTGTCCTCCGTGCGATTAACAGGTAAATTGTCTGATTGCTCGTGCGCGCGGTACTTAGTCGAGAGTCACATTTGTTCAACCAGCCGCCTTCCATTCGTTTCAGGAGCCACTTTGATAGAAAGCCACTGCACCTTGTTGAGTCTTGCCCACTGCA